CCTACAGAGAAGGACACAGCAGAGAGAACAGAACAATAGGAGATACCAAGTCAGTGTGGAAAGAAGGTCACCTAATGTCATCATTAGAGGACATCAGCAGTCCTGTGGTATTAGAGGCCTTGGTCACGTGGGCTCTGGCCACATGTGTTCTTAATACATCTGCTCGACTTTGTGTGTTCCCTTGTTATATAACAATGAGTGTGTCCTCTCCTCAACTTGTGGTATGGTAACTTGTGAGAGGACATGCATCTATGTGCATGGCAAAAATCATTCTTGTTACTTACATTGCTGTGTTATCAATTAAAGGTCTATTTCTTTGAATTAATCTGTCCTATGGTTGTCTAGTAAAAGAAACACATTTGTGGGGACTCATAAACTCTGGTTTTGAGCAGATCCTGACCCACATCTATAACAGGTCTTAATCCTGGGGTACAGTGTGTGATGAGGGCCCCAAGATACCACTTTCTTATAAAGATTTTGAAGAGATAAGGGAGGAAGGGAAAAAAGAAGGTAGGAAAGATTTACTAAGTGCCTACTATGTGCTAGGCACTATACTAAGCATTTTACAAATATTATTTCATTTGATCCTTGCAATAACCTGGTGGGAGGAGGGAGTAGGGGCTGTTATTATCTCCACTTTACTGATGAGGAAACTGAGGCAGACAGAGGTTAAGGGTCACACAACTAGCAAGTGTCTGAGGCCAGATTTTAACTCAGGTATTCCTGAATCTTGGCCCAATGCTCTATCCACTGCACCACCTAACTGCCAGCAAGATGGAGCTCCAAAACCCACAGTGACAATTACTAGCTGTGTGGACCACAGGCAAGTCACTTAACCACAACACACTCTCTGAGCTACAGGCTGGTTGTAAGCTGCACACCAACAAAATCATAGGAGAGGTTGAGTGACTTGGTGGGATAAGGTCCCACAAGTAATAAGCAAAACTAGGGTTTGAATCCAGGTTTTCTGTCTCTAAAACCAACATTCTTTCTACTCTACCTCTCCTAAAAAGGTCTATATATCTGGTGTTCTCAGGAGGCAGTCTTTCCATTGGAGTACTAAATTATGAGAATCAGGTGAGAAAACTTGACCTGTACCATTGCTATTTAATTTTTCCTGTATTTTCTTCAACTAGATAGTAAGGTGTTTTTTTTGTTTGTTTTTTAGGCAATTGGGGTTAAGTGACTGGCCCAGGGTCACACAGCTAGTAAACGTTAAGTGTTTGGTCTGAGGTCAGATTTGAACTCAGGTCCTCCTGACTTCAGGGCTGGTGCTGTATCCTATAGTAAGTTTCTTGAAGTTAGGGGTTATATATTCTACTTATTTGTATTCCCCACAGTGTCTAGCATAGACTTTTCTATAATAGTATATGCTATCAACGAATATTTTTGAACACATCAATCTTATGATGAATAATTCTATGGATTCTCTTCTTTCTTAGACTTCCTTCTACTTTCTGCATCCCTTGATCCACCCCACTACTGCCAATCTTCTATTTCCAAATGAAGTCTAGTACTCAGATCATAAGATCATGGATTTGGGAAGGAACCTAAGATACCTAATTTAATCTTTCTTCTCACCTCCATTTTACAAATGATGAAACTGAGGCCAGAAAAGTTAGCCCAAGAATATACAAGTAATAAACAGAAAAGCAGAGATCTGAATCCAGGATTCCAAGGCCAGGATTGTTTTCATTACCCCAGACTATTATTCTGAAAAGTCCTTCCAGATGAGCCAGGGTGGACTGATCTCTTCTAGCATTCATGCTTATAATAAAACAATGCCTAAACCTTTGTTTCATGAATTAATAATTTTCTCTTGCTGTCCCTCACTGCTGTCAAATGACAAACAGTTAACATTCTTCCTGTTCACTCATTCATTTCCATTATCCTGGTTGAGGGAAAGCGTTATATCTCATTAGAGTTGGATTTTATTTTGTTTTGTTTTGCTTTTTTCTAGCATAGTAAGCAGAAGCCAGTAGGGGATTTTTACCTGGCTAAAAACAGGGAAGAATAATTTCAAATATCTATTCTACCTAAAAGGCATTTATCTCTCTTAATGTTTTCTTCACCTCAAATTAGTTAACCCATTTTCTCCTTTCCATGGATTTTAGGAGTAGTGATGATTAAAGGCTAAAAGTTTTAGAAATCAAGTAACTGATAAAACTTAGTAAGATTTTCCAGAATAGCACATTCAAGCATCGAGTTTCTCTGTGCGTTCCTTAGTTGCTGAAGGCAATGACGCCAAGGGCAGAACACAAAAGTGATTATACCTTCTTTCTTCCTGGTTGGTTTTCTTTTTCTTCTTTATACTATTATCAAAAAAACATTGGCTGAGTACGAAGTAAAATTGGTCAGATTTGATCTCTTTGCCCAAGACAAAAAGGGGAAGGCGAGGAAGAAGGTTGGGGTGGGAGGGAACCCATAGATAGCAACAGCCAGAATGACTGAGAATCCAAAGATAAAAATGCTAAAAGAATTTTACGAATCTATGTGTATCTAGCTTGTCTAGCTTATTCATAATTGGTATGCTCATAAGTGCATGAGGGCTTTCTTATCCAAAGAGGGTGGGTTTGTAAAGGCCTCTAACTCGCTTTGTTTACTCTTTTGTATAAAGTTCTGTAAACCCAGTGTTCCAGGTGCCACTCAAGTCAGCCTACAGTCCTAACAAAGCTGGTCACCCCCTGCGTAGCCCTTATGTGTACTGTGGCACGTCCTAGAATCAGAACGAAAGGGACCCAGGTAGCTATGTTGCAGGCCGGCACACGCTCCCTCTGTATCCTTTGTTTTAACATCAATAAATTGTAACTAAGTTTTCTGTGATCGTGAACCACCTCCCTTTGGCATCCTTAAACAGACTAGAACAAAACACTTAGCTGAACCAAACTGAACTGCGTTTGTCACTGTGTTAAGTCTCTATACTTAAGAGTTTCATACACAGGCACCCTAACCAATTGGAATTTAAACTTCCTTGCCCACTATCAATCCTCCTTTCATCTACCTGCAAAAATACTTCCTTAACTTCAACTTTTCCCCCTAGATTTATATCTTTCTGAGAACCGTAGAACTAGGCCTAGAAAGGACCTCAGATGCCAAGTAGTTAAGTTCCCTTGTTTTACAGATGAAGAAACTGAGGTGATTAAGTCGTTTTTACCAAAACAACACGGATGCTAAACTCAGAAATGGACTTTGAGGTCACGTGCAGGGACTCCAGAGCCAATTTTCTCCCCACTGAAAAATCTCGCTTGTTTTCAGTGAAGGAGACCCTGATATACTTTGGTTGCTCTACAAAACACACTTGGAAGGCTGTTTTTATGCCTATGTATGAAATTTGATCGAAACTGGGCAAATCTTCCAAAAATTATTATGGCATAAACAAGGAGACAGATTTGAAACGTTAGGTAGTTAGATTGAAATGGGACCATATCCTATTAAGGCAATACAGTAAATGAGTACTCGGTTTCCAGCTTCTTTAGTCTAAGGTCCACAGGACCTTGAAGAAGGCCATTGTGGCCTTCTAGGTTCTTGGGTGCGGCCTTTTGACTGAGTCCAAGTTTTACAGAACAAATTCTTTTATTAAGGGCATTTGTTCTGTGAAGTTTGGATTCAGTCAAAGGATCGCACTTGAGGACCTAGAGGTCTACATGTGACCTCGAGGCCACAGGTTTCCCACCCCTGGAACTACTGGAATGAGTTAACTGAGTTCCATATGTGTAATGCAAGTTTAGATTGAGCTGGAAAGAGAGAATCCATAGGCAGAACCAGAACTAGAAATGTTTGCACCTGGGACAAACAATTTCCAGGGCAAAGGAATATAGAGTAGTGCTTTCAGCTGGGGGTAGAGTGGGGGGTGGGGAGAGTATGGGAATAGAATAGAAAGGAAAGAAGAATGGGAGAATGCTTCACCACAGCCCACAATTTGATGGCTTCCTATTTTAATTATTGTTCTGCCTAATTAAGAGGTGCTTTGTTGTTTCTAGTTGCTAAAGGACCACAAGTACCAACAGCACCTTCTAAATTTGGCACCCTAGGGCAAAGCCCCAAACACCCCACCCTAGCAACATCTCTGTCTATAAGTACTGGCATAATTCAGAGGCAGCACAGCTCTGCATGCTGTCACATGACAAACATCGTGGTATATGCATTAAAGTATCTTATGCAACAGCCAACTTTGAGCAAAAGTTCGATTTAAATCTTCCTAAGTCAAGTGTAAATGTTTAAAATTATGGCATGTCTCTAAATGTGTGGCAGGCAGGCCTCTACTGAAGGCAGTGACAAGGATTTGCACCATACAGTGTTTTAAAATGTCATTAAGAGTTTCTGGTCTTTACATGTAGAATATCAAGTTTCCACTTAGAATTCAAGTGCAGGGTAGTTTCTTGCTTTAAAAAAATAAGGGTTTTCAAAATGCAAATTTGGATCAACTTTTCAGTCTAACCATAAAGTAGGTGTTTCCAGAAAAGATTCCAAAAAACCCTTTCTCTGGACAAAGAAAAATCATCAAGGTACGCTGTGTTTTCTGGGGTATTAATGTAACCTCAGCATGAAAGCTTGTTTAAACCTTGCCACAAGTTACTAGCTAATTGCATTTCATTGCTCTATTTACCTCTAAAGTCACAGGATGCCTTTGAGGACAAACAGTTTGGCTCCAGGCTCCATTCAGAAAGGCATATTAAGAAACCCGATTTCAGTTTCGCTGATTGGCCGAGCTTTGGCAAGCCTTAGTACTTGGTCTGTGAAGGGGGATGGTTTATTCCAGGTAAGGGCTGGGATTGGGTGTCAAGGGAGTTGACAGTGCTGGGCTGTTAATTGACATCACGTATCAGGTTTGGTTGATAATCTACACATTGATTCTGCTTGAGCTGATCTGTATGCCTGGGGTCAAGGGGTCATGAGCCAAGAAATAGGTGGAAAGGAAGAAAGAGTCAGTCCCTGCATCCTCCCCAAAGCTCAGAAATGTCTGTACAGGCTTAAGGATTGAAATTGGTTATTAACCACAGGCTACCCGGTCCAAGCTGTGTGTACTATCAATGAAGATGCCTGCAGCAACTAAAACAACCCTGGAACGTCTAGTAACAGATACTAACAACCTGGATAGGCCATTACCCGAAGTGAAAAAGAAGAAAAAAAAGAAGAAAAGAAGGGATTTGCAGATGCCTGCATGTTTCAAGAAGATGTTCCAAGAAACAGCTAAAACTTTCCCTCACACCAAACAAGTTGGGACTTATCTGGTGGGGAAAATGATCAACCAGGGCTCTTTTGCTAAAGTGATGGAGGGACTGCATCTCCCCACGGGTGAAAAGGTAAATGCACCTTGACAAAGTCAGTCAGGCCTTGGCACTGACATGTGGTTACCTATCTATGAGTGTGTGGGAAGAGAGGGGGTGAAACATAAATAGACCAGGATTTCAGATGTTTTTCCACAAGTCACAGTGAGGGACCAGTGAATATATATACATATATATACATATATATGTGTGTATATCTGTGTGTGTGTGTATATATATCTTAAAGATTGAGTCTTTTTCCAGGCAATGTTATATTGTTCAGAATTTGAGCATGCTAAGATATATGATGAAGGCATTTTTCACAGGAGATGACAGAAAAGTCAGGGAATGTAGAACAGGGATCAGTATTTAAGTTGTCAACTAGGAGTTTCCAATAAAATAGCTGTCAGCCTGTTTTTGCTCAGCAAAGTGAAAGACGGAATCTTCCTGCTGTCAGGCTATTATAACAAGGAGAATTATAGGAGCAGGTTATAGAGGAAATAGATGGTTTTCCAGGATGTCCCATAGCAAATTTTATTGGCTTTTTTCTAAACTTGTACTGTGATCAGATGTGAAAAGATCACTGGCCCTGGAGTCAGAGGATCTGGATTCAAATCCCACCTCTGACGCCTTCCCATGTGACCTTGAGCAAGTTATTTAATCTCCCTCTTTTTTGTTCTGTTGTGTCCAACTTTTCATAACCCCAAAGATACTGGCAAAGATACTGGAGTGTGAGGTTGGATTTGAACTCAGGTCTTTCCAATCCAGGCCCAGCACTTTATCCACTGGGCCACCTAGCTGTTCTTAATCCCTCTCAGCATCATTATAATCATCTGTGAAATGAAGCTGTTGTACTAGGTAATCTCTAAGGTTCCTTCAGGCTCTAGATAAATTGTCTTAAAATTTGATCTATGAGCTCATTATTTCAATGAACAAATTTGGTCCTCACATATATAAGATATTTTGTTGTTGTTGTTTAGTCATTTCAATGACATCCCACTCTTTGTGATCCCACTTGGGGTTTTCTTGGCAAAGATACTGATGCAGTTCGCCATTATTTTTTCCCAGCTCATTTTACAGATAAAGAAACTGAGGTAAACAGGGTTAAGTGACTTGCTCAAGATCACACAACTAAGTGTTTGAGACCAGATTTAAATTCATAAAGATGAATCTTACTAACTCCAAGCCTGGCACACTATTCACTGTGCTACCTAGATGCCCCCATATAAGATATTACTTATGTTAATAAAGGGTCACATTTAGATAATATTTTAATATTAATGTTATATTAATTGTCCAAAATATTAAATTATTTTAATAAATAGCAATTTAATGATATTACTATAAGTTTTATTTATAATTGTTATTAAATTTATTATTAAAATAAAACTATTAATTATTTTATTTATTACAAACTTTAAAAGTTTGTAAAGTGCTTTACATCTAAGTGTCTCAGTGGATAGAATGTTGGACTTTCTGAAACACCTGAGTTCAAATGCTGTTTACGACTCTGAGCAAATCACTTAATCTCTTTCTCTCAGTCTCAGTTTCTTCATCTGCAAAATGGAGATAATAAGAGCACCTACCACACAAGGTTGTTGTAAGAATCAAATAAAATAACATAAATAAAGCACTTCAAAAACCTTAAAGGGTTATGTAAATGCTAATTATTATTATTATTATTAATTATTATTACCTCATAGTAATCCTGTGTGGTAGGTGCTGCTATTATCTCCACTGTACAGAAGATGAAATTAAAGATTAGAGGGGTTTAGTTATTTTTCCAGTGTCAAACAAGATTTGTACTTGGATGTTCTGGTTCCAAGTCTATCTACCTCAAAAAAAAATGTCCCCCAAAGCAAAGCTAGTGGATTGCCGAAAACAAACTCTATTTGGGTACACTTGGTGTTAAGAGTTTCTAACTAAAATTTCACGTATGTAGCTAAGAACGTGGAGTTGTAATCATTTACAAATGATAGAAATCTCTTAAAATCCCTGACCCCTGTCACCACTTATTCAGTCCTCCTCACCTCCTGGCTTTGTACTTCAAGGGTGTTTTGCTTTTGTGTTGAGCAGAACTAGCTGCTGTATTTCATGCAGTTTCCTCTCTGTGTTCACTGCCGAAGGTCGCTATTAAAGTCATCGACAAGAAGAAAGCCCAGCAGGACTCCTACATTTTAAAGAACATGAAGCGGGAGCCCCGCATTCAGCAGATGGTCAAGCACCCTCACATTGTTCAGTTGTATGAAACCCTAGAGACGGAAAACTCTTATTACATGGTCATGGAGCTGTGCCTGGGCGGGGATCTCCTGGACAAAATCTGTGACCAAAAGAAACTGGATGAAAGGGAAGTAAGGAGGTTCACCAGGCAGATCATGTCGGCCGTTGGCCACCTGCACCACCATGGCATTGTCCATAGGTAAGGTGCTTTTTTTTTTCTTTCTCTCAAAGCTCTTGAAATTCTTCATGAAAGGTACACCAAAGTCCATCTGCTGAGATGGGAAGAAATTAATCCCACTTGTCTGCTAATAACATGTCCATGTGAATGAACCATGACCTGTCTGTTAGGGAACAAGAGTTTCAAGCTAAATGGGCAGCTAGGTGTCACAGTGGATAGAGTGCAGGGCCTAGAATCAGAAAGAACTGAAGTCAAATTCATCCTCAGACACTTAGTAATTTGGACCCTGGGCAAGTCATTTCACCTCTGTTTGCCTCTGTTTCCTCAACTGTGAAATGGGGATAATAATAGCACCTTTCTTCCAGGGTTGTTGTAAGGGTCAAATGAGATAAGGAATCCCAACTGCAATATACTTTTCCAGAGAGCATCCGGCCTCTGCCTGAAGACTTTCAGTGAGCAGAATCCTGCCACATTCTAGAGCAGCCTATATTACTGATGGTCAGCTCTAATTAATGAGCGTTTTTGTTCTTGGTTCCACTGTCTGAGACCAAGCAGAAAAATTCTAATCAATCTTCCACATGACAGTCACTACAATGTTTGAAGATAACAGTCAAATTCACTCTCCCAAGTTTTCTCTATACTAGATTAAATTTCCATACTTCATTCATACCTAGGGTGGGGAACCTATGATTCCCCACCCCTACTCCTTCTTCTCTCTTCTACTTCCCAGTTTCTGGCTTCTATACATGTGAACTAAGGTTGGCAACCTATGAGATGCATGCCAAAGATGGCAAGCTGAATGATTTTCAGAAGTACTAGGGCCACTTGCTGCCACTGTTTTCTTCTTACTTGCCACTAACGAAACCTGGCACCTACCATTCATTAGAGTCAGCTCATAGTGCCCATATTACTCCCCAAGTATCACAGGAACAAAAGTTTTCTGCTTGGCATCCCATTTTTGAAAGGTTGACAATCCCCAGCATTATTACTTATAACAGACAAGAGAGCAAATAGTACCGGTCCGTTCATTTTCATCTCTATTAGCAGGTATAATAAAATGACTGGGGATAGAAGGGAAGGAATTCTCTCATAATTAAAATGTAGAATTGTAAAAGTTATCAGTACATTTTGATTTCCTAGGATTTTTCCCCCTGCTCTCATTATCTATACCTCCCCTATTGAATGAATGAATGATCTGACCATCCAATAATTTGGAGTTGAAGAAGTTGGAGGCTATGATCTTGTGATTTTCAAAAGGTCAGAAGAAGGAGCCCCCTGAGGTCTGGAAGTCCAGGAGTCTGAGAGTTGAGTTCCTCACATGTCTACACTGGGTGTTGCAGCCAGCCTAGCATCAAATACACAAGAATCAAAGAAGAACCTTTGATATCCAGCCCAGAAGTAGCTGGCCGTTATGAGAATATGGCAAATCGAAATAATTCTCTCATGCCCTGTAAGCATTCAATTTTGAGTCAAAGGACCTCCATTAAAATCTAACTAGTACTTATTGTATATAGCAACCCTGGGCCACCAGTCAACTGATCAATATGTGTGTAGTATTTGCCAGACACTGTGTATACAAATAGAGAAATGAAATGGTCGCTATCTTAAGAACTTCTATTCAATGAGGAGGGACAACTCATAACCATACAAGTATATACAAGGTTATTTGAGTGGGAGGTTTGCATAGGCAACTCAGAGTCAAGAAAGACCTCATGGAAAATTATCTGACCTCTGTGAGCCTCAGTTATTTCATCCACAAAGTGAAGGGGTTCAGATAAATGACCTCTGAACATATTTCCAGTTTGAAATCTTATAATCAGTACATTAACTGACATTTATTAAGCACCTACTATGTACCAGATATTACTCTTAACACTAGGAATACAAAGAAAGGCAAAAACACAGTCCCTGTTCTCCAGGAGCTCACAGCCTAATAGGAGAGAGAATATGTAAATAACTACGTGCAAATGAAATATATCCAGGATAACATAGAGAACATCAAGAGAGAAAAGATGCTATCATTAAGGGGATCAGGAAAGATTTCTTGTAGACAATGAGATTTTAGCTGGAACGGACAATGCATTTCTAGTGCTTACTATGTATAAACATTATCTCATTTGACCCTCACAACAGCCCTGGGAGGTATGTGCTATTATTATCCCCATTTTACAGTTGGGAAAACTGAGACAGAAAGAGGGTTAAGTAACCTGCCTAGCATCAAACACGTAGTAAATATCTTAGGCTGGATTTGAACACAAGTCTTTCTGACTCCAAGCCCAGTGCTCTATCCAGGCACCAGCTGCCTCACTTCTCTGGGAATTGAAAGAAGACAAGAAAGCCAGTGTCTCTAAAATGCAGAGTGGTGGGGGATTTTTGTATCATGTATAAGAAAATTGGAAAGGTAGGATGGCTTAGGGAGGTACCTGGAGGACCTATTTCATAAGATGTCAGAATTCAATGAAATCATGTGTGTAAAGTACTTAGTTAACCTCAAAGTGCTATATTAATATCAATTTTATCATTATTCTGGTTTGGTATGGAAATATCCATTAACATTTTAGACATCAAATCAATATGGGGTGGGAGAAGAAGACTGTAAGGGAAAGGAAAAGGGTTCTTCGTACAACTATAATATTCTAAAATCACAAATGTTTCTGCCATCCAATAAAGCTTACCTTATTTCTCATTCTCCTTAGGGACTTGAAAGTTGAAAATTTTCTTTTAGATGAAAACAACAATATCAAGATTGTGGGTGAGTATAAGTTTAGCTACTCTGTTCCTCTGGGCCTTTACAGTGGCTATTTCCCATGCCTGGAATGGCCCTAGGCCTCCTTAGCTCTGTCCCATAGAATCCTCTCTTTTATTATGATTAGGCACCATATTCTTTGTGAAGCCTTTCCTGATTCCCTCAAACTGCTAGGATCTTCTTTCCCAGAGCACTATATATGTGTGTGTGTGTGCGTATACATGTGTGTACATATGTATGTATGTGTGTATGTATGTATAGATATGTGTATGCATATATACATATTGTATATATACATGCATATGTGCCTGTGTGTATATACATATGTGTGTTATACGTGCATGTATATATACATGTGTATATGTGTGTTGTGGTTTTAATTTTCATATATTTTATATATAATATATATTTTACATATGCATCATATATATACATATATAATATACTTGTTATCTTCCTCATTTTCCTTTAAGTTCTTCATGAATAGGGCCTGTTTCTTTATTTGTGTTTATATCTCCAGTGCCTAGAATAGAGCCTAGCACATAGCAGGCACTTGGTGATCGAATGACTGATTTTGTTAGGCACTGTTATAATTTATGATGCCCAGAATCACAGGATTGGAAGGAACCTTCAGAAGCTCTCCTCTAGTCTCTGCTATTTTTAAGCTAAATTGCATTGTTTCATTTAATTAACAATCTATATTATAAACCCATTCATTATTTTGTTATTTTTAATGCAACACATATTTTAAGCATTGACTGCATATAAGGCATTATAGATCATGATTTGAAAATAATCTTTTTTTTAATTCAAACTCCCTACCATGAGTCTTGAACAACTATATAAAACAAAAACCAATGTTCTGAAAGTACAATTACAAACTACATCAGTACATGAATTGTTTTCTATAAAATCTATGTACAAAGAAGCCAAAGAGAATAAGTCCCATAAATAAGGAAACTGAGGCCTAAAAATGTCAAGTGATTTGTCCTAGGGCCACATGTCCCTCTACAATGTATTCTATTAAAATAGATTTATTAAAACATGTTTGAGAAAAATAGGCTTCCTCTTAGAACTTTATTCTACAATGCAAGTAAGGACAAATAAATTCAAAACAGTTTGTACCGAACAAAAACCATAATAACTCCTTTGGCATAAAAATCAAGCTTTGAACAGGAAAGAATTTTTTTAATCACTATTATTTTCTATCACCACAAAGCTAATTCCTTGCAACTTTATATTAACTTTAATTATAACTTAATTTAATTTATTTAATTCATAACTTTAATTCCTTGCAACTTTATAACACTGACTGGTTGTACAGACTAGATCTGGGTTGAGGGGGCAGAGTTTGTTAAACACCAGTGGTAATCCAGGAAGGTTTTCCAGAGGATGAATTTTGAGATGAATTTTGAAGAAATTCAACAGGTAACGAGAAAGGTAAGACAGAGCAAAGTGGGAACAAGAACACAGAAAACACAAGAACACACTCCAAAAACAGTGGTTTTTAATCCTTTTTGTGCAATGGGAATGTTAGCTCAAATGCTGGGATACACAAACAATTCTGTGACCTTGTCTGGGGAGATATTCCCTCTGACCATGGCAATTCATACCAGCCTACCTAAATATCAGTCAATAAACATTTACTAAGCACTCACTATGCACCAGGCACTGTGCTAAGTCCTGGGGATACACAAAGAGGCAAAAGAGAGTTTTTGCCCTCAAGGATGTCACAACCTAATGGGGAAGTCGTGTTGTTTTTCAGTCTTTTCAGACTCTTTGTGACCCCGTTTGCGGTTTTCTTGGCAAAGACACTGGAGTAGTTTGCCATTTCATTTTCCAGCTCATTTTACAGATGAAGAAACTGAGGCATATAGGGTTAAATGACTCGCCCAGAGTCACACAGCTAGTAAGTGTCTGGGTTGGATTTGAACTCAGGTCTTCCTGATTGCAGACCCTGTGCTCTAATCACTGCCCAGTGGGGGTGATAAAATTGGAGTGACAACAAGTAAACAATTATGTAAAAGCTATATGTAGGATAAATAGGAAATAATTAAAAGAAGGAAAGCACTAGAATTAATAGGGATTGAGAAAGGCTTCCTGTAGATATAGGTCCCCAAAGTGGGTGATAACACCCCCTGGAGGGAACTGGGACAGTACAGGGGGGTGATAGTAGCCTCAGTTGCAACTTGGGGGCATTACATAAAAATAAGGGGGTGGTAGAAGCATAAGGAAAAAAGAGAAGAAAATCTTGAAAAACTGTTCATATATGTTTCATCTGTTGTATAACAGTTAAAGTCATAGTGATTACATTATTTTCCAAATAAACACATAAAATGCAAGTTATAACTGATAAGTGGTCAAGTCCGCCAACAAGTCTTAACAAGTAAGTTTGGGCAGGTGAGCATGTAGTGCAATGTTGGAAAGTCCAGCATGCATCAGCAGAAATATTTGTGTGTAATGACTTGTTTACGATACCGTACAGTTACATGATGCAATATTGCATCATCAGAATTTCAATACAGGAAAAAAAAACACAAATTTACAATAAATTATTAAATTTAAGATGCATCTTTTCTTAAAAAATTTATATTTTTTGAAATGACACCAATTTCAAAAAAACTGTTAAAGACAAAGAAAGTAGATTTCTGGGGGAGGGGAGGTGCTGAGTAAATTTTTTTTAAAGGGGATGGTGGGAACCTCTGTTGTAGAAGATGGAATTTTAGTTGGAGCTTAAAGGAAGCCTAGAAAGGCAGTAATAGATGGAGAGCACTCCAGGCATTGTGGATTAGCCAGAGAAAATGACCAGAGCTGAGAATGTGAGCTGTTGCTATTATTACACAGAATGGCCAACCGTGCTAAAGTATGAGAGTTGTGGTTATTTGTGTGGTAACCAAAGGGTTCTGTCCTGATACCTAGAAAAAACCAACAGCCTCCACCCCCCCCCAAAAAAAAGAAATAGCTTCAGTATCTTCCTTCTTTGAGATAGGTTTCCACACTTCCCCAGCCAGCAGAGAAGAAATTCCTGGGAGAGGACAAAGGAGAGAGAAGCAGAGGAGAGGAAATTTTTTCATTTCTTGATCACCTTGACCTTGCCTCCTAGGATCACAGGGTTCCTAATACAAGTGATGAGGTCAGGAATGAAAGACAATCCACTATACAGGTTACCTAGTCTGTGTGTCATAGACATAGAAATGACTAAAACTGGAAGGAATCTCTGACATTATCTAGTCTAAGCACTTCATTTTAGAAACTGGGAAACTGAGTTACAAGGAGATTAATGACTTAGCAAGGTCAAAAATAGGTGGAGAATGGCACAGCTGAGATATACCCCCAGATACTCTGTCTCTAAATCCTTAAAACTTTCCACTATACTTTGCTGCCCCTTGCCTGATCCCTGCCACCCAGATCTAATACTCCTTCCCTAGTGACTAACTCATTTTGCAGATGAAGAAACAGGATGCAGGAGGGGAAGAGACTCATCCAAGGTCATACAGTTCCTCATTAGCAGAACTATCCTCAAACCCAGGTCTTCTAGCTTGTCCTCACGGACCAGCTCCGCTGTCAGGAGGATCTGAGTTCAAATCTGACCTCAGACACTTACTAGTTGTGTCACCCTGGGCAAGTCATTTAACTGCATTACCAAAAAAAAAAAAAAAAAGGTGTGTGTGGGGGGGGTACTTTTTCAAACAGCCTTTTAAGTCAGGGTGAGTTTTGATACATCCAGTGTCCACTAGGGCTAACAAAGATGAAGTGATTCAGCCATGGTCACACAGATAATAAATGCTCTCATCACTGGCTTTCTGACCAAAATTCCAAGGTTTTTTTCCTCTCTGTCATACTGTTACACAACCTAAGGTCAAGAGGAAGGAGGGACCCAAGGGAAATTCCAGGAGAACTTGTTTGAAGAAAACTAAGTCATTGAAGAAATAAGAAAACTGGTTTTAAAGACAGTTCTTGTGCCTGTATTGTAGACATATGCATATACCTATAAGAACCACTACTATGGTCAAAGAAAGAAAGCATTCCACAAGCCAAGTGCCATAAGGTTTATGTTTACTCCTAGACTTTTTCACGCAAACCACTGGTCAAAAGAATTAAGTGGTCTCCGTCAGAACTGAACTTTTTAGGTCTGGCTGTTTGTAAATCTTTCAGACTTTGGATTGAGCAACATTATGAAGCTGGAGGGTCTTTCTCAGGAGTTGTTAAACACTCAGTGTGGAAGCCCAGCCTATGCTGCCCCGGAACTGCTGGCTCATAAGAAATATGGTCCAAAGGTGGATGTCTGGTCCATGTAAGTAAATCACCAAATTACCACGTCAGCTCAGGGACATTGAATCATAATCACAGTGGATTTAAAGCTATGGGAAACCCAGTTGGTTAAATTTGCTGACTGTTGAGCAAGATATTATTCTCACCTGGAGTTTAACACACACACACACACACACACACACACACACACACACACACACACA